ACCCCCACTCCCTGGACCGAGCCCGCCGCGCACCAACCCCAAGGTGAGATTTGCCGCTGAACACTGATTACTCTCGCTATGCCTTTGGCGACCCCACGTGTGTCAGAGTAGAACTGTGCTCCATAGAGTTTGTCAATGGCTGAGTTTTCAGAAGTAGATGGCAAAGGCCAAGGTGCCTCTGGGTGGCCTGAACCTCCAATCTTTCAGTTAGCAGCCAGCACCAACTGTTTGCACCACCCAGGGACTCCTCAGGAAGGGCAGAACTGCGTTTTTTGGAGTGAGATAGCAAACACGCTACAAAAAATCCGAGATGACTGAAGATGAAACTTCAGTGTATCTTTCAGCCGAATCTTTGTTGTGACTGTATGTAATTACTGCAATAGCAAAAACATACCTGGTTTTCCAAGGACCAGCCATCAATGAACACGCATTACTGTTCATTTGAATTTACTGTTCATTTGAACAGTAATGCGTGTTTATTGAGCACCTACTATATACTCAACACTAACTCATGCACTTGAGTACTCCATTAAGGGTGTATAATATCTTGGTAAAGCCAAGATAAACAAACATCAAAGTTACATCACATAGTATACTAATTTATCTGTTTACTTGTCTTCAGCTCAAATAATCTGTGAATCTTTGAGGGCTGCAATTGCACCTTTATTCAACCTTGTGCCATCACTGTCCAGCAGTCTTAGTTTGTAGTAGGTTCTCTATGTTTACTGACCTAATGAATCATTTTTTCATAGTAACAAGCTAAAATGTGCTATACCCATTGCTGTAAAGTCAATTCTGATTCATAATGACTACAAGACAGAATAGAACTGCCCCATAGGGTTTCTAAGGCTGTAAATCTTTACAGAAGCAGACTGCCACATCCTTCTCCCACCGAGAGGCTGGTGGATTCAAACTGCCATGCTTTTAGTTAGCAGCCAAGCACTTAACCACTGCACCACCAGGATTCCATTAAAATGTCTATGTTGTTGTTGTTAGGTGCCCTAGAGTCGATTCTGACTCATAGCGACCCTATGTACAACAGAACGAAACACTGCCGAGTACAGCGCCAAGCTCACAATCGTTACGCTTGAGCCCATTGTTGCAGCCACTGTGTCAATCCATCTTGTTGAAGGTCTTCCTCTTTTTTGCAAACCCCCTAATTTACCAAGCATGATGTCCTTCTCCAGGGACTGGACCCTCCTGATAACATGTCCAAAGTACTTGAGATGAAGTCTCCCCATCCTCACTTCCAAGGAGGATTTCAGCTGTACTTCTTCCAAGACAGATTTGTTCGTTCTTCTGGCAGTCTATGGTATGTTCAGTATTCTTCTCCAACACCGTAATTCAAAGGCGTCAGTTCTTCAAGCTTCCTTATTCATTGTCCACTTTCACACGCGTATGAGGCAACTGAAAACACCATGGCTTGAGTCAGGGGCACCTGAGTCTTCAAGGTGACGTATTTGCCTTTTAACACTTCAAAGAGGCCTTTTTCAGCAGATTTGTCCAATGCAGTACGTCATTTGTTTTCTTGACTGCTGCTTCCATGGGTGCTGATTGTGGATCCAAGTAAAATGAAGTCCTTGACGATTTCAATATTTTCTCGATTTATCATGATGTTGCTGATTGGTCCAGCTGTGAGGATTTCTGTTTTCTTTACATTGAGGTGTCATGCATACTGAAGGTTGTAATCTTTTATCTTCATTAGTAAGTGCTTCAAGTCCTCTTCACTTTCAACAAGCTTATTGTAGGTTGTTAATGTGTCTTCCTACAATTCTGAAGCCGCATTCTTCTTCATATAGTCCAGCTTCTTGGATTATTTGCTCAGCATACAGATTGAATAAGTAGGGTGAAAGGATATGACCCTGACACACACCTTTCCTGACTTTAAACCACACAGTAGTCCCTTGTTCTGTTCAAATGGATGCTTCTTTATCTATGTACAGGTTTCTCATGAGCACAATTAAGTGTTCTGGAATTCCCATTCTTCACAATGTTATCCATAATTTGTTATGATCCACACAATTGAATGCCTTTGCATAGTCAATAAAACACAGGTAAACATCTTTCTGGTATTCTCTGCTTTCAGCCATGATCCATCTGACATCAGCAATGATATCCCTCGTTCCACGTCCTCTTCTGAATCTGGCTTGAATCCTTGTTGATGTACTGCTACAACCACTTTTGAATAATTTTGGCATAATTTTACTTGTGTATGATATTAATGATATTGTTCTATAATTTCCACATTCTGTTGGATCACCTTTCTTTGGAATGGGCACAAATATGGATATCTTCTAGTAAGTTGGCCAGGCAGCTGTCCTCCAAATTTCTTGGCAGAGATGAGTGAGCACCTCCAGCATTGTATGCTTTTGTTGAAATATCTCAGTTGGTATTCTGTTAGTTCCTGGAGACTTGTTTTTTGCCAATGCCTTCAGTGCAGTTTTGACTCCTTCCTTCAGTACCATTGGTTCTTGATCATATGCTATCTCCTGAAATGGCTGGACATCAACCAATTCTTTTTGGTACAATGACTCTGTGTATTCTTTCCATCTTCTTTTGGTGCCTCCTGCATCATTCCATATTTTCCCCATAGAATGCTTCAATATTGCAATTCAAAGCTTGAATTTTTTCTTCAGTTCTTTCAGCTTGAGAAATGCCTAGTGTGTTCTGCCCTTTTGGTTTTCTAACTCCAGATCTTTGCACATTTCCTTAAAATACTTTACTTTGTCTTCTCGGGCCACCCTTGGAAATCTTCTGTTCAGCTCTTTTACTTCATCATTTCTTCCTTTTGCTTTAGCTACTGTACATTCAAGAGCAAGTTTCAAAGTCTCTTCTGACATCCTTTTTGGTCTTTTCTTCCTTTCCTGTCTTTTTAATGACCTCTTGCTTTCTTCATGTATGATGTCCTTGATGTCATTCCACAAATTGTCTGATCTTCGGTTATTGTCGTTCAATGTGTCAGATCTATTCTTGAGGTAATCTCTAAATTCAGGTGGGATATACTGAAGGTCATATTTTGGCTCTCGTGGAGTTGCTCTAATTTTTTTCAGCTTCAACTTGAATAAGCATATGAGCAATTGATGGTCTGTTCCGCAGTCAGCCCCCGGCCTTTTTCTGACTGATGATATTGAGCTTCTCCATTGTCTCTTTCTACAGATGGATTTGATTCCTTTGTATTCCATCTGGTGAGGTCCACGTGTATAGTTGCCGTGTATGTTGTTGAAAACAGGTATTTGCAGTGAATAAGTCATTTGTCTTGCAAAATTCTATCATGCCATCTCCAGCGTCATTTCTATCACCAAGGCCATATTTTCCAACTGCTGATCCTTCTTGTTTGTTTCCAACTTTTGAATTCCAATCACCAGTAATTATCAGTGCGTCTTGATTGCATGTTTGATCAATTTGAGACTGCAGAAGTGGGTAAAAATCTTCAATTTCTTTATCTTTAGCCTTAGTGGTTGGTGTGTAAATTTGAATAATAGTCATATTAACTGGTATTCCTTTTAGGTGCACATTACAGTCGACTCTACTTTGAGGAGGCAGCTCTTCCACAGTCGTATTTTGAGTGCCTTCGAACCTGAGGGGCTCATTTTCTGGCATTATATCATACAATGTTCCTCTACTATTCGTTAGTTTTTCACTGGCCAATTTTTTCAAAGGTTGACTGCCAGGTCCTCCTTCCTAGTCTGTCTTAGTCTGGCAGCTCCACTGAAACCTGTCCACCAAGGGTGACCCTGCTGGTATTTGAAATATCAGTGTGGGAAAGCTTCCAGTATCACAGGAACGCACAAGCCACCACAGTGCGACAAACTGACAGACACGTGGCGGAAAATGTGCTATAGGGACTGTTAATGAATAATGCCACAGGGTATACGTGATTTGGGAGACATTACATATATTAGAATTCTATTCCCTTTTTTTTTTTCCTTAAGCAACTTTCATCAGAATTCAATGTCATAGTTCATTTGTGTTGTAGCTGAAAAAGCATTGGATCAAGTAAGTACTCTGAAATCTAGGTGCAACTGAAACTCTATAAGGAGTGGAATGTATGCAGTAAGGGCATGGGCTCTGGACTGACTGCCTAGGTACCAATTCAGGCCTCATTAGAGCAAGTTATCTCACTTTTTAAACCCCCAGAATCCTGTAAGATAAGGAAAAGATTGTACCACCTACCTCATTTGGTTGTGGGGATTAAAAAAATCTAAGTGTTTTACAGTATCTGGCATATTCGTAAATTCACTCTTCCTCTCTGAGTCTCTGCTACTGTGTAAAATGAGGGGGGTTAGGACTCTAGCTGATCTCTAGATTTTTAGGTCTAATATCCTCTACCTTATTGCCCTACTCGAGTTTGCTCTTTTGGATCCCTGTTTCCATCTCTGCTCTCACTTCTAGATCTTTACTTTCCAATTCTAAACCTGTATTTTCCAATTTACTTTTCCAAATATACTTTCCTATCTGTATTTTGAAATTCCTCCCTTTGCGTTTTGTACACGCTATCTCATTCCTTAACAAAAACAAAAAAAAATTTTTTTTTTCATTAAAAACGAACGCTTTCAGAGACGGAAGCGCGCAGATGGCAAACTCTATGGCACCAGAACACACACTTCAGCCAGAGCGTTGCATGCCGGGAGTTGTAGTCCGACATTCTAATTCGCACAGCCGCGCCTCTCTAGTTTGAAAAGCGGAAGGGCGGGTAGGCGGGGCGTTAGTGGGTATGAAGCGCGCTCGAAGCTCCGCCCCTGCTCCCTAGCGCTCGCGGGGTTCTTCCTAGAGTGGCGCGCCAGACCGCGGAAGGGGCGCGGCCTCGGATCCCGGGTGGCGGCGGTTGCCGCCACCAGGGCCTCTTTCTCCGGGCGGTGCTGCCAGGGATGGCCTGCGCGGGGCAGTGATGGTCCCCCACTGAGTCGACTGAGGCGGACAGCGGGGCGGGGCCTGGCTGGCGGGTGGCGGTCCTGTCGGGGGGCGGGGCCGGCCTCTGGATCTTTCCTCCTCCGCATGTGGCTCGCCGCTGCAGAGCGGTTCAGTTCCCGCACTCTTCCCGGGCGTCTCTTTTGGGTTCTCCTCGCGTCGCCGGAACCATGTCGTTCGCCGAGACCAACCCGGCGGCATCTTCCCTGCCCAATGGCGATTGCAGTCGCTTCAGGGCGCGGCCCGGAGGGAACCGGGTGACGGTGGTGCTCGGCGCGCAGTGGGGCGATGAAGGCAAAGGGAAGGTGGTGGATCTGCTGTCGCAGGACGCCGACATCGTTTGCCGCTGCCAGGTGAGGCGACGGGGCTGTGACGGGAAACCGGGCCCAGAAGCTCGGCCGCCTGGCCTCTAGTGCCCGGGAACTCGGGCCCAGAACCCGAATCTACCGGCCAAAATAAGGTGTCACCTTGAGGTTCTCTCTTGCTGCAAGCGGCGGCGACAGGAAGAAATGGCGGGAGGTCAGGGACCCCTGACCTGGGGTCTTGGGCTGAGGAGATAGAGTGGCTCTGGAGGAAAATGCGGGCTGATGGGAAGGTTTTGGGAGCTGCGCGATGCCCGGCGAGTTGTAGTTTTCGGTCTCGGGACCCGTGTTCAGCCGCAGGAATGGGGACGGGATGGGGTGGTATATGGTCCGGGTTTGAGGAGCTACTGCCCGAGGCCTGCTCCTGACCCCGGGCGGAGACCTGGCGCGGCAGCGGCACCCACCCTGCGGCCGAGGAGGATTGGATTGTTCCGAAACGCCCCGAAATCCAGACTCACCACTCCCTCACCTGGCTCTGGAGGAAAATGCGGGCCCGGGGCATCAGAGGTTTGCTTCCTCGGGTCCAGTTTGTTTGTTGACATTAGAACCCACTTCTAGGCTTTGGACTGTTCAAGAGCCTCGGTTTTGTTTTGTTTTTCCTTTCTTTTACTCGTTACCCTGTAAATTAATATTGAGAGATTATTTTTATTTTTATTTGTTGATTCCAGAGGAAGAAACCCTTGCCCTGTTAAAAGAGTGAGGCAGGTAATACATGGATATTAAATCTGGTATTTAGAAATATCTACATCGTTAGGGTCACACAGAAAGTGAACTTGGGGAAATGGAGTGGTAATGTACTTCCTACGGGGAGACACGTGGTTTTCTGTGTACGCTTTCTTCCTATTTGTCGTTTGCTTTGAAAGCAGCCTAGAGGCTAGGCCTTTGTAAAGGCTCTCAGATAACTATCCCCAGTTTCAGCGTTTGAAATAGTTGAGCAATACCACTTTCAAAACAAAATGTAATGTCGTATCTGACGATGACTGCTGTCTGTTTAGGTTGCAAGAATATTTCTCGTTCTTGAACGTGCATGACATAATGTGATGGTGTCGGTATGTGTTCTAACAAGTTAGTAGGCTCACTTGATTGGAAGTTTGCTACCTAAAATTGAATACCGTGTGAGCATGCAGAAACAAGGAAATTATAGTTGCATGAAAAGCTAAATGGAAGTATTCCCTGACTTCCTCTGTTTTCTGCATACAGAAATCCACCTGCCCTTGACACCCATTCCTTGGCCAGGATAGCTGTTGCATCAATTACCTGTTACCATCACTACCACCTCTCCTTCCCTTACAACCTCCTGTTCCTCCACCCCTTCCCAACAAACGCACCTTAACCGCACTCCGAAAGGTGAAAGGTGTTGCTGTTGAATTCCTGCCCCACACTACCTTAGGAGCTGTTCCAGAAGCCCAGCTTCCACCTTTTGTCTTAAGGTCTGGCCCATGCTATTGGGAATAACTACTTCTTGCTAGGTAGAAGAGAAGAGAGGCTGAGACCTGTTTTTGACTCCTTTACTCCCCGTCACACAGGACATCACCTTTACCTTGAAATACTAATGCTCGGGTTGAGTTACATTATGGATTGTAAGTAGGTTCTGGGAACGTAACTATTATAGCGGATGATCCTTAATTTTAGTATCCCTTTGAAAAATATTAGAGTTAGCGTGCAGATTGGAGAAGGTATTACTATATCACTGAGGAAGTTATCTTGAGGTCATGGATCAATCTGATCTGATGCCCTTGGAAAACGTAGAGAAGTAATTGAGAAGGAGCCAGGTTTGGCTTTAAAATGTTAGCTGAAGATAGTGGAGAGATAATTGGTCAGACTTGTTAGGCTGAATTTCCTCACCTGTAAACTTTTTGACTTATTGCCTTCCCTATTAATTCTAAAATCTTCATATTCTTCTAGTGCTTTTTAAGAGTGCATCATTAGAAGGATTCTAATTAGTCTTGTTAGTGAAAAGTAGGTAAGTAATGAATAGATTTAAGCTTACTGCTTTTATGATTCGCCTTTGGTCAGTACTAGTAAGCTGATGGAAACCCTGGTGGCGTAGTGGTTAAGTGCTGCGGCTGCTAAGCAAAAGGTCGGCAGTTCGAATCTACCAGGAGCTCCTTGGAAACTCTATGGGGCAGTTCTACTCTGTCCTACAGGGTCACATGAGTCGGAATCGACTTGATGGTAATGGGTTTTTTTTTTGTTAGTAAGCTGACATCTACTTAATGAAGTTCTGGCATATAAAAATGAAGACTATGGAATGTTAAAATTTTTAATGAGTATGTATAGAGAGCTGGGAAAAGTCAACATTAGGAAAGACATTTTAAGCTTGATTGCCTTGTTTGATATTTCAAGTTTTGTGTGTTACTGGAAATACATACTTTGTTAGAGTTTAAAGTTGTTGCTTTTTACGTATTCATGCCATGAACTCAAATTTTATCCAGCATTGTTTTTCCAAAAGTAGTATGAACATAATGTATCCATGTTTAACAATGGAATTATCAAAGGAGTGTCTCACAATATATGGTTTAAAATAGTTTTTTTTAAAAACTAACATTACATTTATATATTTTAATATATAAAATGCCTTTCTGGAAAGAATAGATGCAATATTAATGGCATTTTCATCAACATAGCACTTAAGTCTTATATCTTTCAAATTCTGGATTTATGGGGAGTTACTTATAACTTGCTAGGTACTTTAAATCCATAAATAAGTGTAGAGGACTTGTATCAAAGGACAACCACTGCTGATGCCTTAATTTTAAATCAATATGTCTTTTAAGAAAAAGAGGAGAATTATGTATAGGACCAACTTGAGACAAAGTTCATTCATCAACAAAGTATATTGAATGTGTCTATAGGGAACCGTTTAGCCCTGGAGTTAAAAAGGTAGGGGTTGTGCCTATAGGGAGCTCACAGTCTAGTATAGCAACTGCTATGCCAGCAAGTAATTACCAGGATGGTGATCGATACACACACACACGCGCACACACACACACGCGCACACACACACACACACACACACACACATATCCATATGTTGGAGGGGGGAGTGGGAGAAAGACGTGAGGGAGCAGTTAGTTCTAGCTGATATTCAGAGAAGGGTACTTGTTAGCTGCTGTGGAGTCGGCCCCAAATTCATAGCAACCCAGTGCACAATGGGATCAGGCCCTGTGATCCACAGGGTTTTCATTAGCTAGTTTTTTTGGCAGTAGATTGCCAGGCCTTTCTTCCTAGGCTGTCTTAGTCTGGAAGCACCACTGAAACCTGTTCAGTATTGTAGCAACACGCACTGATAGGTGGGTAGTGACTGTGCTTGGTACTAGTACAGGTTTTTGAAGCAGTTAAAGTATTGGAACAGGAAGATCACTTTCTGGCAGCTCAAAGTTGATTTGCAAGGAAGCCTAAGTATCACTGTTTTCCCTCAAATTCTCTCAAAGTAAAATACTATACTTTGTTTCCTTTATTTTGTTGAGTAGAAACTGTAGAAACTTTATAACTATTGAGTTTCTACCAGGCCTTAAGCAAAGGCTTTCTTGTTCTTGGAGAGAGAAAGCTTGGTGGTCTTGGTTACAGTGAGGCATAAAGTTTCATGTAATCGGGAATGGTTAGAGCAGTATTCTCTTTCTTTGTGGTTTTCGCAGGATTTTAAAGTCAATATAAAGAGAAAATATTAACTAAAATTAATTATAAAGGGAAGGTATGTTATCTAATTTGCTATAGATAAAAGTTTACCATAAAAAGAAACACAGCGAAAAAGTGTTACTAATTTCTCTCTAGATGCTGGTATCCACTGAAGACTCTGAAACCAACTTTGTCAAAAAGGGATATTAGTAAGTGATAGAGAAGTGTAAAAGACCTACTAGACAACAGACTGCCTCCTTGAAATAGAAAGGTTGAAAGACAGTTTAAAAAGAATAAATTTAGTGTTATTTAATGCCTTGACCTTGTACACTTAAAATTATCTTCCAGCCTACTTCCCATAATTTTGAAGATGGTAGAGAATTAGCATTTTATTTATGGGAAGCCATTCTTCCAGGTTTATAGACAATTGCTATTTCTGTGTTTTCTGACTATCAAAACTGTTTTATGTAGTTTATAGTATTTTCCAGGTACGTAAGTGTAAACCAATATCTGGTATACTTTGTTAAATCTTGCTTTCTCTGATTACTGTGCTTTCCCAACTAGAATATAAGTTTCCTCAAAAAGTGGACTTCTTTCCTGTTTTGTTTTCTTTCATAGTACATAGTACGACGTAATGCAGAGTGGAAATACTCAACAGATATTTATGGGGTGGCTAGATGACTGCAAGCAATTTCTTGGAAACCAGTTAACCTTTTCCTGTAAATTATTTTAACATCTCCCTGGACGATTTGACTGTTGACATGAATTTAAGGTGGAATCTCCAGCATCCCTTGGATTAATAATTGTTATTTAGTATTTCAACTAGTATTTTTTGTATTGTAGCATTATGTTGCAAAGCTTTGTTTCTATTAAGTCATATCTCTTGTATCTGTGCAAAAATAGATAACTGATATTTTTATTGTTTTCATATATCTCCTCAGTGTATTTCAGTTGAATGTTACGTAGTTCTAGAAAATAGTCTTTTTCTGCTGTGGTTGGTAGAGCTGAAAAAGTGTGGCCAATGAGGATGTCCTGGGTTGTTCACTAATTAAATCTATCATATTAGTATACATGATATACCATCATCTCTACTTTTGACATATGAATTGTTAAGTTATATGAGACCGCCTCAATGGCGCTTCAAGTGTTTCTACAAAAAACTGTTGCCTAGACCAAATCTAGAGTGAAGCAGTAAATTGACAGGTACTTATTAGCTTTGTATGAAAATTGGATACAAATCTAGTTATATTATTTTTGGGGACTGTGTGAGATTTTGACCTCAGATATTAGTGTGGATAAGCTACATATTGCTAAGTGAAGACTGATGACTGTTAGAATACTTGTATCAACAGAAGAAGGACATGGAGGTGTTC